TGAGGTATAATGGCGCGGAGAGCACATAGCCAGTATCAATGCAATCCCACCATCCACATTAATCAGTCGTCGATGCGGTGTGACCCGGATCAGCTGCCGTGCCCCCATATGCACTTCCATGCACTGCTAATGACATGCGTCCCGCCACGGAAGGTAGTCGCGTGTATGCTTACCCGTGTTGGCCCCGCGGTGCACCCGCGCCAGAGTCTTCACGATTGCTACCAGCACCATGCCTAGTTGTGTCGCGCTTCACACTCGCACAAGTTGCTCTATGCAGTGCCAAGAAGAAGCTTTTTCGCGTGCAATGTCCGTCGCGAGCCAAGCTGACAAACATACATGGTACACCGCCGTGACCCGCCGATGCGAGAGGCGCTGAAGCGTGACGCATTAGGATGTGATAATTGGGGCAGGGATCCACCGTTGAACCGAGACATTCAAAGCTTTGCGGCGACGGCGAGTATAAAGGCAGACGAGATTCTGCGCGCGCTGGCGGGAGTGACTGAACAAAGCGCTCCGTCGCCATACGTCATTGGGGATCACTGCGACGCACCAACCACGTCTCTTTTCATCTCAACGTCTTTCACTCACCCGTCCAGCTCCGCACCGATAACACTGACCAGCGATTCCGCCGCTCCAGTGTACTTCCCCTGCCTCGAGCTACGGCTTTCCCTACTTTTGACAGTCCGTTTAACCATGTTGCAGGCGCGCTTTTGTCGAGCTCCGTCTCCTCCAATGAGAATGGACGCCTCGAGCACACCCTAAAGATTCAACATTAACGCGTTGATTGCGCAGGCCGCATGGAATTGACTCTCTGGCTCTTGCCCTGCCGATCATTCAATCCTACCGCTACCTATATTTCGTTCCTTTTGCCGCCCCCGCCTGCCTAGAGCTAGTCCTACATACGATTTAGAGCGACCCTCGAGCTCGATATCAAGCTCTACCCGGATCCAGTTGTCAACCGATTGTTGCTTCGCCTCCAGGATGAAGTTCGGACACAATCTACCACGGAACCAGGTGCCTGAATGGGCGGCGTCTTATATCAACTACAAGGGCCTCAAGAAGCTCATCAAGAACGCTGCTGAAGCTTCGAAAGATGGCTCGGCTCCAGATCTTGCTGGTAAGTAGACTTCAACTCTGCCAAGACTCATACCAAATACTCCATGGCTATGCTTCACCAAGCTGTTGTGGATATCTTGGAGTCGTCACGAGCGCGTCATGTTTATCGCGACCATTGAACTTCAAGTCGCAGAACACGTGGCTAACATTCCCCCCAGAGTTCTTCTTCTCGCTCGATCGCAACCTCGAAGACGTTGACAACTTCTACAACCGCAAATACGCCGAAAACGCACGACGATTGAGGCTTCTACATGGCCGCTACGGACGAGTCGCACAATTGCCCGACGGCATCGACAAGGATGAAGCGCAGGATCTCATGGGTGCGCTGCTCGAGCTACGCGGTTCAATGCGGAAGCTCCAATGGTATGGAGAAGTGAACCGTAGAGGCTTCATCAAGATCACAAAGAAGCTGGACAAGAAGATCGAGACAGTTTGTCTGCAGGAGCGCTACTTGGCGTCGAAGGTCAACCCAAAGCCTTTCGCGCACAACCTGCCTTTGAACCAGGATATGAAGGCAGTGAACGAGTGGTTATCAGGGTTGAGTGACATCAAGACATTCGACGACACGGGCTCCTCCCATTCGGCGGCCTCTCTGGGCAGAGTTCCAGGTCGCTCGTTACACCTTCCCGCGGGCCTGCTCGACGCTGTGGACACGGCTATTCGGGGCGATAAGGTCGAAGATCTCAACCAGAAACTCACAGAAGCTGCTGCGAGCAACGGCATTTCAAGTGCTTCGTTCCAGCAAGTACTCCTGAACTTCTTGCAGCGCGCCATCTCATGCCGGGCAAAGTCATGTATCGAGAGATTACTCAAGGACATTATCTCACTAGATGAGGAAGACGACATCAACAAGCGTAATTGCATCCACCGACTTGTCATCAATATCGGCCGATCGAAGACTGGCGACACTTTTGGTGCTGATGGAACCCTTCTCCAGAGCTCTAGCGAGACGCGCAACTTTATTGTGCCTGCGACGGATCCCAATCGCCAACCTCGCCCTTGCACCACCACCGAAGAAGAGTCAACGCAATTACTCAGCGAGAACGATGAGTCGGTACGGTTACTCGTCTACCTCCTCGATCAGCTCCAGGCTGAGCAACGCAACGCGCTCCAATCTCGCGACTCCTACGGCAGGTTCCCGCTCCATTACGCTGCGCAATATGGATTTGTCGTCATTTGCCAGGTCGTTATGAAGCACATGCAAGACTGGGGCCAATTCGACGTCGCTCAGGGAATCGACTCCGCTTACTGGCAGGATGCTGAGGGTAACGCTCCTTTGCATCTCAGCGTAATGGGCGGCCATCCGCTCACCACTAAAGCCCTCCTCGATGCAGAAAACTGGCGCGGTACAACAGAAGAACGACTCACATCCCGCAAAACCATCGCGAGATCAGGAGCAGCCTTGACTCTGGCAACCCGGTCGAACTTTGTAGACATCGTCAAGCTCTTGGTTGAAGCGGGCGTGGACGTGAACTACCGGGATGAGGGCGGCGAGACTGCACTACATATGGCAGCGCGTTACGGTTACGACGAGTGCGCCAAAGTCCTACTGGGTGGGTCCAGTGTGAACAAGGCGGAGGTCGATGTCGCTGAGAAGACGTTTGCATGGACGCCACTGTTCATCGCTGCTGTCGACGACCATCTCTCCATGGTGGAGATTCTTGCCGCGGCCGGAGCTGATCTTCAGAGGTGCGACAACTCTGGCTGGACAGCAAAGGAGCACGCCACGCTCCGTGGTCACATCGTTGTAGCGATCAGACTAGGGGAACTTGCTCCTGCGACAGAGCCGCCTCTTGTCGCGCCTAAGGATACGCGTATTGCTCGAGCTGGCTCGCCTACACAATCCTCCCTTGACGAGCGAAGGTCTAAGAATCTAAACCGAGACACCAACACGCCTGTTCAAAAGGCGCCCGAACCCGTGAAGACCTTTGGCCATCGTTACTTGACCAAAGAGACAATGATTCTTGTCAGCCTTGGTTCAATGGACGCCAGGAAAGATGTCCCCGCCGTGAAATTGGACGATATCCCTCTTGCCGATGCACACGCGACGCAACTCGATACCGCCCTGTCTGTGGTTGTTAATGCGTCTGGCGCAAACGGAGAACCCTCGGTCATTGACTTGCCCATCCAGGAAAACATTGCGACTGAGCCAATCACCTTCATGACCAGCGATGCCACTAAAGTCAAGCTACTCTTCGATATCATACCAACATATGCGGGCTCTCAAGAGCGTGTCGTGGGACGAGCAGTGGCACTGCTGTCGACCATCAAGACCAGTATTGGATCTAAGCGCATCTCGCTCCAGGGAGACATGAAGGTACCAATCGTGGCTGCCTCGACACTTGACGTGATTGGCACCGTCAACTTCAACTTCTTGATCATTACGCCTTTCCACCACCCAAGCATGTCCATCACAGAACAGCACACTTACTGGAAGAAGATGGCCGCATCGACCATGGTCATCGGCCACCGCGGTCTAGGAAAGAACACCGCCTCACGCACGTCGCTACAACTTGGCGAGAACACGATTCAATCCTTCATTTCCGCTGCCAACTTGGGTGCCGAATACGTGGAGTTCGACGTTCAGCTAACCAAGGACCATGTGCCGGTTATCTATCATGACTTCCTGGTCAGCGAGACTGGTATCGATGCACCCGTACACACGCTTACATTGGACCAATTCCTACACATCGGCGAGGGCCAGAAGCCACGATCCTCTCGCGCTGGATCACCAGAAACTGTGCCTGTTCTGAACGGTGCGAATGGCACAGACGACAAGCCCAACACCCGGAGACTCCGATCTTACTCGGTCGACAACTCGAAACAGCGCAACATTCACACTGATCGTCAGAACGAGCTCGCGGAGCGAATGAAGTACACCCGCGACTTTATGAAGAAGGGCTTCAAGGGCAACAACCGTGGCACATCCATCCAGTCCTCATTCACGACTCTCGACCGCATGTTCGATGAGCTGCCTGAGTCAGTCGGTTTCAACGTCGAGTTCAAGTACCCTATGCTTTACGAGACAGAGGATGAGGAGATGGACCAGTACGCTGTTGAGCTGAACCAGTTCGTCGATACAGTGCTGCAGAAGGTGTACGACAGGATGGGCCAACGGAACATTATCTTCTCATCTTTTAACCCCGACGTCTGTCTGATGCTATCCTTCAAGCAGCCCTCAATCCCGGTACTCTTCCTGACCGATGCGGGAACTTTGCCCGTGGGCGATGTGCGAGCTGCCAGTCTACAAGAAGGCATCCGCTTTGCTAGCCGTTGGAACTTGCTCGGAGTGGTTACCGCTGCTGAGCCCTTGGTCATGTGCCCGAGACTTGTCAAGGTGGTAAAGGAAAGTGGTTTGGTGTGCGTCTCGTACGGCATACTGAACAACGATCCTAAGAACGTCCTGGTAAGCCATCACTTCACAAACTTTTATTGCCCGAACATGTACTGACAGCAAAACAGCTCCAACGAAACGAAGGCATCGACGCCGTCATCGTAGACAGTGTGCTGAAGGTCCGCCAAGGACTACAAGCACCGCACCAAGACTCCACCAACGGCGTCGTCAACGGCGCGTCGCTCGTCGTTCCGTCCGACTCGGTGCCTACGATTAAGCAGGCGGATGAAGTCTTGCAGAACGGCGCTGAGAGCAAGGCGGCCGCGAACGGAGTAGTGTGAACACCGGGGACGCAGTTTCAACAATGGGTGGCTAGCGTTGGATTTCATAGAATTGGGCGTGTTTGATCCCTAGGTAGTCCCTCAACGGGCTTGGATTTGGTCCGTTTAATCGATTGCTCGCTAAGCATAACCACGTCCTCTCGTCATCGCTATGTTCCTCGGTCCTTTCTCCCCATCCAACATTTCGTACAGCCTACCTACCATCACAGCTAGGCAATCTGGGCCATTGCCCATTCATCCAAACTGTCGTCGCTATGACGACCCATATCCCCATCCTCATAATCCTCATCCTCCTCAGACCAATGCGTCCAACCATCCGGGCGCTCACTGTCACTATACGCACTGCTGTTCGTATAGCACGGCATCGAATAGCCGCCCGAATCCTCGCTTCTAGTGTCACCGGCTTCTTCTGGCCCATAGATATATCTTCCAACATGTAACAGCTTCTCGAATGATGTATAGCCCCATCTCGCTCTGTATTCCTGCAGATTTCGAGCGAAGTCCATTTGGTAGTGTTTGTTGATGCGCGTGTAGCGGAGGAGGATGTGCGATTTGTAATGTGCTTTTGGGTTGTAGCGGCCGTGGAGGTAGATGTTTGTGGCTTTTTCCTGGAGGGTTGGGGGTGTTAGTGTGGCTTTCGCGGAAAGTTGTTGGAAGGGTTGTTTGGTGGGGCGAGGAGAGTGAGGTAAAGGTGAGGAGAGTGAGGTAGAGGCGAATAGAGAGTGTGGTAGCATGCGCCTAGGAGAGCGTACAGACCTTTTCCCATTCCTCTTTGCTGAGGTGGAACAATGGCGGCGTCAGAGTCAAAGGCGAAAAGACATCAAAGTAAAAATCCGATTTACTTTCGCTGCCACTGTCTGAGCCATTGCCCCAATAGCGGTCCTCGTAGCCTTCATCCAGTTCTGGCTCAAATTTGACTTCGACATTACACCCAGCGTGTATCATGTCATACACCGGCTTTCGTATGGTCTCCAGTACATTCATGAACCTGCGTTCGTAATCCCGCCTGGAAGTAACGTCTTCCTGGGTTTCTTCATAGTAATCGTCATTGTATCCAGACATCTTGATGATGATGCAGAGCTTCAGCAACGAAGGCTCTCTCTTTCTCATAAAAAGAGCAAAGCCCGCTTCGAGCTTCTGGTACAGATCATTTAGGTTTCTTTTCTCCTGTGCTATACTTTGTTTCATGGTTGCGTTCTCAAGGAGTCGGCCGTGACCGTCTGCTCCTGCCTTAGTCACAAGACAGTCACTGATCTTGTCATTGTTGATTCGAACATGTAGTGTTCGGATGTGCATGTAGGGTTTAACGCCCAGGTGGAAGACGTCTTGATTGAGGGTTTCTCTTAGAGTTTGGATATTGGCGATGATGTGCTGTTGGGAGTAGTAGTATTCTGCTGCCTCGCGTGCGACTTCCACGCCAACGTAGGATTGACTGTATATGCGCTGTATCGATGGCACGACGTTTTTGCGTTGTGGGAAGTCGCGCACGCGGTGCAATATGCGCTCTTTGATGGCGTATTCGTAAATAATATCCCGTAGTTCGCGCGGCAACTTGGCACACATTTCGGTGGCTAGGCGATGGCAAGCCTGTCGCTCGACTTGGGCTTTGGTCTGCCGCTTTTTGTAGTGTTTCTTTCTGTACAGACGTGAATATTCCGGAAGGCGGCGACGACGATGCAGGGGTCAGAATACCTATGTGGTTTCGTGGCCCCGTCGCCCCGACGTGCACCATCGAGACGATTGCCCTTCGGAGGCATCGCTGCGCTATCTTTTGCTTTTTGCTACTTGAGAACAGGTCCGTTAGCGCTTGTCGATAGATCTCAAGATTAACAGGAGAGCGGTGTATGGCCCGTGCTCATGGTCCGTGCGTTGACGCGTCAAACATTCCACTAGAGACGCAGGCCAACACTGCTAATCATCTACATGATCCTACAAATTGAGGCACGCGTTTCAGGGCTACGAGCAGACGAGTAAGTAACGTGTTTCTGTCTCCTGGCCTCTCATGACTAAAAGCCCCATTGCTCCATGTCGTCATAAGTGGCTTCGTAGTCTCCTTGTGGACCTGAGTCGTCGCTAGAGTAGTGTCTGTCGCAGTATGGATTAGGAACTGGTTCATCATCCTCATCGTCCTCATATTCCTCAATCTCTTCGACATCGTCATCCCACTCGCTCCCAGCATAGGTGCTCGGCCCCGACGAAAACCCATCCTCGTTTTCGTCATCATCCAACTCCCGACGCCGCCCGACGTTTACCAGCTTCCTAAATGAAGTGTACCCCCACGACTCTCTGGAGCTAGGAAGGTTCTTGGCAAATATTTTGCTGTATCCGCCCCCGTCCCATAACTTTTGTATATACTTCTGGCCGTAAGGGCATAGGACATATTCATCACCCCAACGTGTGTATCTGGCTTTCTCCTAGTCCAGAAAATTAGTGCGATGCTTTTCGATTGTCTTTTGTGTAATGATCTTGAGAGAAGGTTCAGTACATACCTTCTTCCAAGCCTTCTTACTCAGGTGAAAAAGTCCGGGTACAGGCTTCTGGAGAGGACCATCCTGCCCGTTACAAATGGCTTCCTTCCCCTCGTCCCATGTGATTATTACCCGCGCGCCAGCGTGTATCAAGTCATATACAGGTATTTCGATGAATAAAAGAAGGTTCAGAAAGCCACGCTCGCAGTTTAGTATTTCCATGCGCGATTGCACATCCGGTGAATCCACGTACGGATAATCTCCCAACTTCAACATGAGGTGGACGGTCAAGCTAGAAAGAGGTGCATCAGGATGACGTTTCATCAAAAGTGAGAAGCCCGATTCGAGCTTCTTGAAAAGATCCTTGAAATTTCTCTGTTCTTGCATGAGCAGCTCTTCCCGTTCCGTGTCAGCGTCGTCGTCATAACCATAGTCAGCTTCGTACAATATCGGAACAGTAAGCGCCTCAATATCGAAGGTGATATGCACCATTTTCACCCACTGGTATGGGAAGACGCTTTCGTGGAGTTTGTTGTCCATGAGTGCTGGAACGAGTTGATCCACGTCACGACACACGAGATGCGTCTGTCTGTTGAAAATAATCGCCGCTTCCCACGCGACTTTGTCACCAACATACGCAGGGCTATATATCCGCAGGAGTGGTGGAACGTAGGCATTTTCGCCGGGTTTAGGGGCTCCTAGGTCGACTTGATTGCGGCGTGCCTCTTCGAGAAGAATATGGTATACCTTGCACCGTAAAACCCAGGGAAGCTTGGTGCGAAAAGCTGCCGCTAGACGAAGGCCAGCTTGCTTGTCACGTTTGACTTCTGCAAGCCAAGCTTTCTTGGGAATCCTCCTGCAATAGTATGAACTTCCGGGTGACTTCGTTTGCATGTAGGTGGCAGTACCTTGGGGGTTTAGCAGCCTTTTTTCTCCGCGGTGCACGATCGGGCTGATCGACCTTGGGAGGCATCGCTGCCACGTTATTCAAGAAAAAGACTGAACACCCTAGAGCCTACGTTGACGTCAGATTTTCTCCTTTGCATGTTTGCATCTTAATGTACCTAGGTAGGCTGCAAACCTATATGGGTTTGTTCTTATACAAGGTGCTGCGATTAGAGGCGCGTGTTGTTGCTTTTCTTTGTTGCTGAACAGCAAAGTCGGTAAACCTTTCACGCAGATCGTTCGAGATGAGCGGGAGTAAGCGGTGTGTGGCATATGGTCTGTGCAGAGACAGGGGGGCGCGCGTCGACGCGTCAAACGATGATTGGAGGGAGAAGACAACGTTGCTAGATATCTACACACTATCTCGGTGCCATCGATGCTTCGTCCTTCATCCTTACAGGTACAAGCAACAACCGACAAGCCCAATCCTCCAGTTCAAATCTTACCTACGTACTTAGGTAATCGGGAAGTCCTTGCATCGCGTCGATCCAGCTACCGAGGTAACGTTCAACGATCCTATGGACATACTCGCACATCCTTACCAGTCGGATCCCGATTCGGAGCCCGAGCATTATGGGGAACATTGGGATTCAGGGTTAGAGTCGGAATACTCGGAGGAATATTCGAAGGGAGAAGTATTCATGGCATGGAGATGGCGTCCAGTGCGCTATATTAACAAGCCATACAACCGCCATAGACCTTCCAAGTACAGCTCTGCATACGAAACGGTGTCAACCTCAATTGACATTGTAACAGGGAGCAGCAAGTCCTTGTAGCAAAGCGCGATCGAGAGGAAGTCCGTCAAATTGCCTCCGAATTACACGCTAAACTGCCCCGAGAGTTACGAGATGAAGTATACCAGTACCTTGTCGACGACATATTGGATCTCGAAGAAACTCCGAAAGGACTCAGTGCTGCATCTGATGAGGAATTCGTCACTTCGTACTACAAAGTATTCTGCCCATCTTATGTTGGCAATGAGGTTGCCTGCGAGGCTGCGGAATGCTACTATGCTACCGGAGCTTTTGAGGCTTGGACTGATGCCAACACGCGCGATCGGTTTGAAGATAACGGCGTCGAGTCTCAGGGCTTGCCGCGCTTGATGCGCATATTATGGGAGGACGTTTTCGAGCTTGGTATATTGCCGTACAAGTTCATCCGGCACATACACATCAGGTTCGATGTCGACGATGTCTGTCCACAAATGCGAATAATGTGGGGAGACGATCTCGAGTCCGACAAGTTCTCCCGTCAAGAACTATCGAATCTGGAGAAGGTACACAGCGACCTAGAGTCCATGCTCTCGCTGGTGGTAGACAAAGCTAAGCTTAACATTCGGGTTCAGATTGAGCCCACCTTACCTGGATGGCATTGGCGTGGTGAACACAAGTGGAGAGGCTTGAACCCGTTCGAGGCTGATTCATACCGCATTGAGTATTTCAACGTTGAGCGCAGTGTGCTTAACGTGTTGGAGGCGATGAGGAAATTCCTTTATGATCTGAAATATGCTGGAGCATCTGTCACAGTATTGTCTGATATATATGGCCATACAGAGCGTCTCAATATGCAAACACTGTTTCAATCCTCCAAAGAAGATTGGGAGAAAGTAAGTCTGCAAATACATGATGCGGGACGATGCTAATTATAGCGAAAGGAGAAGGAGGAGCACACACTTCGATGGGGACGCTATCAACCTCACCGAAACTTCATCAAGCGGAGCGAGCTGGTAGACAACAGTACTCTCCGGTACAATGATGAGTTTGCCAAGAACCTTCCTCAATACAGGCGGCGGTGGGGCTATGAAGACTTCCAAAAGTTTCTGTCTCTTTCAGCTTCCGATGGCGTTGGAGAAGGAGGTAGCGAGGACGAAGGTGGCGACAGCGACGATGTTTATTACAACGACGCCTACGAAGAAAGTGAAAGCGAGGACGAATATGGAGACGGCGACCATGAATATTGAGGGGAGCAACCAAAACATGGAGCTAATATTCCGCCCCTGGAGATGCATCCTAGGGATATTATGGAGCGCATACAAATGATGAAGCGCTCAGGGGGACCATCATGGGGTGTGCTGCCTGAAGAGAGAGCGTAAATACGGGGTTGAGAGTATAGAAGAAGAAATTGTCAAATACAGTCTTGTCAGGTTCGCGGCATTGCGCTCGTTCGCGCCAGGCAAGTCGGATTAGCTCTTCTCTACTAGAAAGTCAGTTCTTAGTACGTGTCGTTCGGCATACGGAAGAAAAGCCTTTGTGGCGGCGAATGAAGCTCGTCAAGTAGCCATGATTCCCAGTATCGGCGTTCTTCAACGTCGTTGTGATGCGAATAATCCTTGTCGTGAGTGTTGTCGTCAGACGGTTCTGAGAGCCGATCAGACAATTCAGGGTACTCGTCAGACATCTCCGCTTGGCACCTGTATTCGTTCGAAGTGATCTTGCATGCAATTGAACAAGTGCTGGGTTGATGAGACGCGATATCTTCCGATGAGAGAGGAAGGTGCATCAATCTAAGCACAAATCGAGGGTGATACAAAGATGTCCGTGCATCAGTGCACGGACGATTTCGGAATCGTTCCGCATGACGCAAGTTGGGTCGAGTCACTGCGACACCGCCAATGTGGGCGCAGACCAGCCGCATCACTCCTACAAAATGCGTAACTTCGGCCTGACCTTCTCGCTAACATCAGAACCAGCATCTGAATTCCCGAGGTTTCAAAACATAGAGAAGCAAGTACATGGCCTGTGGCCAGTGTTCCACCGAAATCATCCGTCAAGAGACGGATGTGTTCTTTCCTTCCCGTCCAGTTTCAAAGCCAGTCTAATCAATTGCATGGGAGCGATGTAATCATGCGTCATATCAACTACTCCATATGCGAATCCAAAGAGAACGCATGGCATGATGGCGTCTCGCCAAATGCGCTATTACACGTGAGCCTGCGAACCAGCTATAAAATCCGCCCTTCGTTGCGACTTCCTTCATCAACAAACTTTCTAAACAATATCACCAAAACCGAGATGTTTCTTAAGCATGGAGTGTCTCTGGTCTTTTGGGCTCTTTCAAAATATGCGCGGTTCCAAGCGATGAGTCTTCGCAGTCTTCCCACTTCCCAAAAACGTACCCAAAATGCAGATGAGAACAAGTGGATGGCCTTCTGCGCTCTTCATGGGCTCACAACCCTATAAACTTCCTAGCCCCATGTCTGCGTGACTTTGATGTATCAATCTACCGCAGTGTGGTCTCTCGTCCCCTCATATCCATCATTGCACTTTGCGACACCAAAAAAACGTCTTCGCAAATTACATGAAGAGGACTGCTCTTGCACAAAAATACATACCGCCATCATCATGTTCGGCTCTTTCTTTCGCGTTTCCGAAACTGAAGCAAATCGATTTGATGGGAGCCCGCCTTTCAGCGTCGACCTACTGCTCAAAGATTGCATGCCAAAGCTTATGACCGGCGCCAGCTCTGCGTTGTCATTCTCTTGGTCGCTCGATGTATAAATACGTCTTCTCTGCGCTGTCTTCCCTCCCCGAACACTCCTCGCTTCTTTTCCTACTCTTCAAAAAAGAATTGCTGCCCTTCGATGGAGAGGTTTGCTCGTTCTTCTCAAAACTTATGAGGAGTTTCTGCATGTTCTCTCCTGCTCTCGGAACTCAAAAGCCTCGAGAAAATGCTTCACGGCAGAAGATGGCCCACAAAAACCCAAGCGGCTATTCAAGGTCGACCAAAAGAACAGAATCTGTGGCGGTCGCTGCGAAACGCGCAAGTCTTCATCTTTGCGTGCGGCGGTTTCAAATTTGAGAGGGTAGCGGTTATGAAAGAGGCCTCCGGCCTGACACCCAACATTTAACTTTCCATTCCCAATGCTATGTGCAAACTTATGGTGGCAGCAGTCATCTTTCTGTCTCAAAACGGTACAACGAACGGTGACATGTGTTCGCCTCTTCTCTGCGCTGTCAAAAGCATGAATGGATTAAGGAATGAAAGCGCCGTCGTGCGACGGAAAAACAGCGTGCGCGTACGGAAACACGTACAGATAGGAAGCATGTGAGTAGCGTCTTCTTGGCTCGTCTATAAAACGCTTCCTTCGATTGCTGTGTCTCTCTTCCTTCTTCATCCAACATCTCTATCCCTCTTTCCAAAAACCAACCAAGTATATGTACATGGGGCCGTGTGCCTGCGCCTCGCTCTCTTCTACATCAAACATCTATCTTTCTTCTCAAAAAACAAATCTTGTTGTCGTATGGGGCTGTGTGTCTGCGTTTCAAAATCTACTACCAAGGCACCGATGTGTTCGCCTCTCCTCCCTCTCGTTCTCAAAATATTCCTGAGCTGTCCCATGACGGTGTCTTTCTCCCGCGGACATATTATCTCAACATCAAAAAAGACAACCAGAGTTACGATGTGTGCGCCCCGCCCGTGCGTCGCCCATCTATAAATTCTCCGTCTGCGACGGCTCCTCTCTTCTTCTCTACATCCACACTTCTATCTTGTTTTCCAAAAGTACCTTGTTTTCGAATCATGGTGTTTGTGCCTCTTCTTCCAAAAATCTCGCACTGGGCTTGCGATGAGAGCAGGGCTCCGCCTCTTCTGCCAAAAGTTGCACTTCGACGTCGAATGGAGACTGCGCCTCCTCTTCTCAAAACCTCATCCAGAAGCCTTCATGAGTGGTTCTGTGCTCCCCCAAAACCGCGGTAGCCGTGGCGATGACTGGTCTTCCTCCATCAGAGGCATCATGAGCGCACGAAAACAAGAGAAAACTAAAGACATGAGCGCGAACGCCGCGTGGTGCGACTATAAAACCTTCTGCTTGCGACTGGAGTACACTTCCTTCAACACATTGCGTCTTCCTCTTTTCTCCGAAATGACTCAGATCTGTCGTCATGGGGACTGTGCCTTCTTTCCAAAACCTGCAAAGGACATTCATATGTTCTGCCCCCCTCGTCCAGCCACCGCGCCGAGCCCGCCTCTACCAGAAATGATGCGGGACATGTACTATGTGGTCGCCGCTTCCTCTGCCTCGGCATATAAAACCCTCCTGTGGGTGCTGGACTACTCTTTCTACATCCTACATCTTCCTCCACTTTCTACCAAAAGCGTACGTCCAGATAACATGGAGTCTGTGCCTCCCTTCCAAAACCAATTGTGAAGACCCGTATGTGTCTTGGCCTTCTCCCCGAGCCACACCAGAAATATCAAAACATCACGAGAACCTCTACACTCTACCAAAGCGATTGAGCGAAACTTGCCATGTGTGAGCGCCGCCGCCCTCGCTCAACTATAACCC